CTCATAAAGAAGCACACATTCTGAAAATAACTGTATATATTGCCTTGATAGAATGTCAGATCCAGGAACAGATAATATAATCTCAATTAATACATATTTGGAGGTATATTTTACAAAGTTACTGAGTGATATTTTTTCATTTCGTTACATTGTCTTTAAGAGAAAATCGGACAGACTTACCTTCTTGCTGCTCATTTTCAGTACCCTTGTGTGAGGGATTCAAAGTCAGATGAGTTGATCCAGAGAAGCACGGGACACCATCAACATCAAATACGTTAGCATTCAACAAAGAAGGATCCTCTCTAGAAGCCCTTTCAAATACTGCATTAGTACATTGACGAAACGTTGCGGCAGCTGTGTTAATTATAGCAGAATTTGTCTTGCTGTTGTGCAAGCGGACGCATATAACTAGGGCCTAGACATAAAGTTAGAAGGTAGAGTAATGGTATAAACCATACATATAAAAGATAAAGAAGATTAACATAAAAATACATTTCACAATGGCGTGAAACTCAAGATATCTGTTTTTTGCATTCAACTACAGTTTCGAGGTGATGATATGAACAGTGCCTAGGTATGGTAAAAATAAAGAGTATACTGAAAGTAATAATAGATAAGAAAAAATTTTAAAAAGTCGATAAATAGCCTAAAAAGAAAAATTCAGCAAATAGATGAGCCAGTGTTGCGAAATAAGACATAGGGAGAGAATGCCTGGGAACGAGAATCACCAGTCTTAAATCCCCAAGCATGATGTTAACGAACACCGGAACGGAAGGCCCATAAACAGTCAAACAGTGATTTTTATGTGTAGCAAGGAACAACTGACAAGCTGGGCTAAATGAATATCAAAAGACCTACAAAAGGCATCTGAAACCTGTAATGAATGTGATTATATTTCACTAAATCTACTCGAAACGGTATGTTCTTAGGCACCATTAGACAAACTAGAACAAAAAATGGTGTGAAGAAATTTCTTGAAGGTGGGTATCCAGAAGATACAACTCAAAGAATAATACAAATCGTGATGAGCAGATGGCAGAACGAGTATTATAAAAGTAAAGCAAGGGAAAAAGGAAACATGATTAATATCTCTATCCTCCTGTGAACTGGTGCGGAGACTGTGGCCGCTACTATTGAAATGGAACTTTCGTACGATCCTGAAGGAAGGGACAGCCCTCTTCAATAGCTTGCCCACACAGCATGAAAAAGTT